GGGTGGGAGCAGGTCCCAGTGCGCATCCTGTTTCCTTTAGGACCCTCTTGGCTTGCATCTCACACGTGCTAGCACCTGTGGGACAAACGTGACTGGCCCTTAGATGGGAGTTTTCCCTAATACAATCTTGTATTTAAGTCTCAGGGTTTCCTATTCTTTAGGCATGCCTTTGATTTGTTGCAAATGGAAACGATATATAAGAAAAGATACAAAAAGCTGCATGAAGATGTGAGCTGAGTGTGTTTGAGCAGCCCTGGATGTGTGTGAAATTGTGACTTCCCCTGTACGTCCTGCTCCTCTCTGAAGCCATGCACTTGTAATAACGGGAGCGTGATTGTACAGCGTCTCCTCCTCTGATTGGATTTGAATGATCCCACAGACAGAAAAGCAGAGGGGGGCTGCTGTCCACCTCACAGTGGCCTCTGGCATCACCTTTGCCATCAGGCCCGACGTTGCTATCTCCTTCCTGTGGCCTGCCAAAGCAGGGAGTTTGTTCTTAGTCTCCAGTGTGGTTACCAAGCACCTTAATGGGTGGGAGGTACCTGGCTGCGTGTGCACTCTCTCCCCTCCACTCAGGCTGATCACCATTGGCACCCACCATGGTGCAGCTCAGAGTCTTTGAGGGAGTGGAGGCAGGACCTGGTGAGAGGGGAGCCAGAGAGGCAGGCTGGGGCCAGACCACAGAAGCCTTGAGGCCAAGATCAGGCTGTTGCTCTCAGGGCAGGGGGAGGCAGCCACTGGAGGGCATGAAGCGGGGAGTCACGTGGTCTGGGTGAGGCCTAGGACCAGCCCTGTAACTGCTGAATTAGGGATGAGGTGAGGCAGGGGATCTCCCTTTCAGCCTCGCCCCTAGCCCGAAAGCTCCACAAAGGAAAGACAGGTCTCAGGCCCCCTAGTAGGTGGCGGAGGGAGGCCGTGACTATAAAATAGGGAGACTGGGTATCCTGTGCGCCCTAGAAAAACCCTTCTCATTTCTTTAGTCATCCGCCATTGCTGGGTTTAGAGAGATGGTTGGAGTGAGGCACTGCAGTGGTGCTGAGAGGCAGGAGGGGCTGGTCCCCCAGGGGCTTCTGCCAGCTCCTGCTCCGATTGATGAAAACAAACACAAGTTGGAGAGTGCTGATTTAACAGAAGTGTATCCAGTCTGCAGAGCTATTTATAAAAATGGGAAAACCAAGATAATGGGGACAGGGGGTGGGGGTGAGGGGACTACATGTAAACACTACTTAGTTGGGCGGTTTGAGACACCGAGTCTTTGGAATACCTCTGAGTCTGCACGTGGCACCCTTGCTTGATTCACGGCTTGCTTTTCTCTGGAGCCAGCTTGTCTCCTGAGAAACTGGGGGCCGGGGCAGGACAGCGAGGGAGGAAGGCCCCCCCACGGTGCCCTCTCCAGCCCAGCTTGTCCCCAGCAGCCTTTGTGCTCACAAGGCATCCTGGTGGTGAAAGCCTGGGAGGCTAATGCTGTCTCAGTGGTGAGATGCTGTATTAAGGACAAGTAGCGCTCCAAGAATGGCCTGCTGACGCTGTCTGTCTCTGCCCGCCCCAGATGCCAATTCACCAGAATCTCAAGGAGCTGCTGGCCATCAGGGCGGAGCTGCAGAAGCGGGTGGAGGACCTGCAGCGGGAGGTGGCAGCGCGCACCCTCTCCTCCTCCTCCGAGCGGGGCTCCTCGCCGTCCCACTCGGCCACTCCTGTCCACACGTCGGTCTGACGGGCAAGGCCGGCCGTCTCGGGCCATCCTGCTGTTCCGCTGTCTCCTCAGCAGCTCAGGAAAGGGACCTGGCAGTCACTCTTATGGCTGTAGCTTGTGCTCTTGTCTTTTAGGATTGGGCCTCGGGACTATTTATGTGGCTAGGTGACAGCTCCCATTTCGGCAAGTGCTTTTTGTCTTGTGAACAACCTGTTATGCTCCTGTCAGTGGTTTCACAGGGGCACTGTTTGTCCTGTCCCACTGTGGACTGACTCCCTGTCGTCCAGGCAGCCTGGGAGGAGCGCAGGCCTCCCGCTGGAGAACGCTTCACACCTCCTGTCCCGGTGAGTCCTCCATGCGCACCAAACAGTGTTCGCCAAGACCACAGCACCAGCCGCAGCGCTGCTCTCAGCTCCGTGCCGCAACTCAAACTCTTTTTAAGTGAGATAGTTGGGGGGAAGACAGACCGTTGCCATCTATTCTAGTTATCTTCATGCAAGGGGGCCTCCTGTACCAATTACTGTTGTGTACATATAAGGTATTTTTACAAAAGAGAAACATGCCTTTATTTTCCTATGTCCTTTTTTATGTTTAGAATAGTCACCTGAGGAGGTATCTGCTTAACTGTACTGTGTGAGAAATTCTTTTCCAACAAACCTCAGGCTAACTCTTACGTGGTACATTTGAACCCAGATTTGAATGTGGTCATTTCAGTGGCAATGTGCTGTGGCCGCGCCTAACGCTGGCACTTGCCTCCTGAGGTGGCCTGGTCCGCTGAGGCGGGGAGCAGCAGTTCCCCTCGGCACGGCAGGGACTAGGCATGCTCGGTCCTCCGGCCCTGCTGAGGGTAAACCGAGGCCACGGGCAGCTCCATGCAGGGGCTGGCCTGCCTGCTGCTCCCTCCCAGGCTGTCTGACCTGGCATGCTCCCGCCTCTTTAGATGCCAGCTGTTTGTATCAGAGCAGGTCTGCTTTCACCCGTTGTAGGCCTATACCAAGTACCCTCTCATCTTACAGCACTCCTGTCAACTCAGTTCACTCACACAGCCGCTGTGCTGTGGCCTCGCCACCTGCATTTGCGCCTTCACTCAGCGACTTGGCCGGTTCCATCCACTAGAGCACTGTCACTCCTATCTCTGTGTGACGTGCCACAGGAGGAACATTGCACATTTGGGCCTTGTGCCAGAAGGCCACCCGCCCCCGTGCTGTGCCCACTGCCGCAAGTCACCGGGGCCCCCATCTGCTGTGGGCGTTCAGCTTGCCTTTAGCGTCAGAAGCAGCCTCAGAAGCTCACAGGGTCAAACCCAAGCACACCTGCACTGCAGTGTTGTCTGGATGGCTTCAGACTACGGGATGCCACCTACAGTCCTACATGTTTTTGAAAATATATTAAGGTTTTTTATAGTCAAATACATAGAGAATAGATGTCTTTTCAACTTGGAACCTTCTGATTCTTATAGAAAATTATCCTTCCATAGGATACCAGAAATATTTATTCAAGTTAATTTGGTAACCTAAAATAATTTTCCACTTTTATCATCTGGGGGATTTGTTTCTAAATCGTAGTTTAATTGATATTAGCCTTTGATTTATGCTCCCAACATATCTGAAGGCTTATTTATGAGTGGATAAACTGGACTCATTGATTCAGTGAATGGGGACGTTTTCTATTTTTTCTCAGAAATAATCTCCTGGCTGCACTAGGGCTATTAAAGGTAGTGTAAACTGGGTAGGGGTGGGGGGCTGACACCTGGTGGGCCCTGTGTACCCTCACCTCGGGGGGAGTCTCTACCAGCAGGATCCCTGGAAACTCCTACTCACTCTTAAACAAGCACAACAGATCATTTTCCTTCCTATGTTCCTAGCACAGAACGGTTTCTAAAACAACTTGAAGTACAGTTTTATCTAAGTAATTCTTTTGATTTTATTTAAGTGTACTAGAATGTAAAACCTTTACAGTTCAGATTTTTAAAAACTGGTACAGTATTGTATTCGTCTCATCTGATGCACTGTATTTCAATCTGTAATTAAAATGATACTATGTTTGCTCCCTGGTCTTTTCTGTTGTCTCTCTTTTGTAAGCATTTCAGTAGATTTTCTCCCTCCAGGGAAATTAGTAATAATAAAATAGCATTTACTGAATGTTTACATTGTGCCAAGCACAGTTAATATATGCCTTTATGTGACTTAATTCATTTACAGAATTGTAAATGAATTATCAGTCTTGAGTGTTCAGGCTGAAATGGGTAAGTACTCTGATTTTAAAGTGTGAAATGCCCCTCAACTATACCTTGAGAAAATGTCAGCACAGGGAAAGGACTGGACACCCCCGAGAGGCAGGGCAGCAAATCCTCCTTCTGCAGCACTGAGGCTTAGAAGCGCACCCCCTCCTGCAAGCCTGCAGCAGGAGAGCGCACTTTTTCAGGGCTGTGAAGGCCTGGGTGAAATCACACTGCTCCTTGTAAGAGCCTGGGCTCCCTGTCCCTAACGGTGACCCCGGAGTGGCAATGTTGGGAGGGCCACTACACCAGGTCCCCCCACTGGCCATGCAGACCTGCACAGGAGAGTCATGTGGTGGCCTTGGGTTTGAGGACTTAGTGCTATTTTACTACAAGCTTAGTTTAGCCAAAAAATGCCACTGACCTCATTGTTGAAACCCAGGGTCCACTGCATCTTGTTCATGCTGAAAGGTCCAGCAGTCATCTCAGTTCACAAGCCAAGTTGCGAGTTGATGACAAGAACACTTTATTCCCAACAGGCCACTCTCCACAGACTGCACCAAGTGATGGGGTGCAGGGACCCCTTGCTTGCTCAGCACTCTGGCTGAAGCAAGTGCACGTAACTAGACCCAACTCTGGTTATCGGCTTGCTCTGAAGACAGCAGAGTAGTGTGCTCGGGCGCTGCGAGCCTGCAGTTCCAGGCTCAGCTCTGCTGCTGCCTGGCCCCGACTGGGCAGCACGGGACCAATGGCTGCCTCCTGAAGGAGCTGCTCTCACGTGCCAAGGCCTGCTGGGCATCTGCGGAGCCTGGAAGTGGCCCCCAGGGCTCTGCCCTTGCCTCAGCCCTCCCTTGCTGAGGCAGCGGGGATGTCACTCCACATCTAGCCTTATACAATGAGGGGGACCCTCCCCCGGGGAGCCCTGACACTAAACTGTTCGAGGGGGTAAATGCAAGAACTCTAACCTAGAGACATACCTACGGCTGGAGAGAAGGGGAAGGAGGTCAGCTCCACATCAGAAAGCACTTTGGGGGGGGGGAAAGCACCACTTGACAAAGAATGTGCCTTAACGCTACCAGAACACAAGGGTCTGCTGGTGCCATGTCGTTTAATGCAAACAGGCAGTTCACAATTCATACGTGGACACAAGCACATAAAAAGATGTACAGGGGATTCTGAGATCAGTCTCCTCGTCTTCTCCCTCAGAACTGGTACTAACCCAACCCAGGCGGCCGAGGAATGGGCCTGACACTATTCTAGAGCCACTGTGGGGTCCACCCCAAGAGGGTACCACCACCACCAAGCAACCCTCCCCCTTGCTCCCTTCTCTTTATCTTTCATTGGGCTGTAAGTTTGCCCAGCCCTTGCTCAGCTGTTACTGTAAATAGTGAGCATTTGAAAATTGTCCCTGCCAAGGTAAGCTGCTACAGATTGAACATTTTCAATTGGCCCTTCTAGTTCACATTTTCTCCTGTCACCTGGGACAGGCCCAAGCTGGTCAATGCAACTTCCAGGTAGATACACAGTTACAACAGCCCCTTAGGCTTTTGCAGGCAACAGTGGCCAAGCAAGTGAAATACCTGTGGGAAGGAGAAGCCCCGCAAACAGGCGAGAGCTCTGCTAGCAGGCGACAGAGGGACCTACCAGGCACATCCAGTTACCAGAAGCTATCACGTGCGGGCCTGGGCACCAGGCCACTGCCAGAAGGCATCGAGCTAGGCGAGGCAGAGCACAATGCACCTCCTCAGTCTGCTGCTGAGAAGATGGTTTCACAGACTGTGCTTACATGAGAGCTGTACGGTTTCGAGGTCTTTGCCATCAGCTAGGCCGCACTGAGGTCACCCTGTCTAGACAACAGGCTGTGAATGCAAAAATCCTCCCTAGCTACCTCCAGCCCAGTACCAGCCAGAGGGTGGGACGAGCAGCCCTGGAGGTCCTCGCTGTCAGGGAGGGACAAACCTGACAAAATTGATAACGATCTGGCCATCAAAGGTGGAAGGCCCTGGAAACAGGCAGATCTTGCACATCTTGCACACGGTACCTTCCCTGCTAGTTCGTTTCCTGAAGCACGGGAGCTTCCTCAGGCCACGTCTTCCTTCCTTCACGGCACAGCACAGCACAGAGGCGCTTTCCCAGTGCTCCAGGCCACCCTCTCAAACACACAGTCCTGGGTCTGTCCAGGATTTGCGGCCGAGCAGGAGCATTTGGAAGCCCAGAGGCAGGCGCTGGGAATGGAGCCGCAAGGCAGCCTTGAGACAGCGCTACAGCCGACTACCCTCCCACCAGCAGCATTTTTACAACGGACATGGGAGGCATGCACTAGATGGCAGGTGGCATCTCTTCAATTTCAATGGTTTCCTTAAGAACCTGGAGTCACCACAACCCAGCTCAGTGGACGTGAAGGGGCCATCGCATAAGCTGTGGAATGCTGGGGGCCGTCGTGCAGTCCAAAGAAGCCTGTGAGTTCTGTAAATAAGGATCCTGTCTGCCTGGTGACTTATATTCTGCTTGTGGAAGTGCTTTCTGACAGGGCAAACGGGGGCTCTAGACCCTAGCTCAGCTCTGACAGCAGCGCTCGCTGGGCAGGAACCATGTGTGGGCCAAAGGAACATTCCAGGAAGTCAGCTCTTCTCCAGCACAGGCCAGGTGAGGGGCCAGTCCTTGGGTTCCCATGTTTACCATGGTGAGCACGGGCCCCAAGCGCTGTTCATGAGAATGGACAAGTAGGATAACTACAGAGCTACAAAGTCAGGTGTCTGTCACTAAACCTAACAAGTGTCTCCCCCCCCCCCAATACATTTTTAAGCAAACAAGCATGCTTCCAGCTTTGAGGCTTATTCTTAATGTCTGTAGCTCTTGCTACCAAAATAAGATCATATACAGGGTGGAGGGTGAGCACCTCCCCCACCCAGTATAAAACATTTTAACGCAGAAATGATTCCTAAAACCTTTAATCATGTCAGCCTTAACACCACAGCTAGTCCCCTATGGAATCAGATGGGACGCAGGCCTGCAAGTCATGGCTTCCTACTTATCCAGAAGATTCCTAAACTCTTAGGGCAGGACTGTCATGAGATGCATGTTTGCACTTAAATAACTGGAAAGCCTCCACTTGGACCAGCTCTCTGGAAGCCCGGTACCGTAAAACCTGGAATTGAAAAGAAAGACCAAAACGAAAACACGGCCCTGGGTGTTGCATGAGTGTGGTGCTACTTGGGGCTGACTGGTTTGCTCCTTGCAGGTGCTCTTTGAGGTCACTGCCAGGGGCTGCCTGCTGACAGCAAGCTGCCACAGTGAGCCACTCCACCACGTGGGTTGTGCCGCCCTGGGCTCAAACTCTTGTTCCGTGAGCAGATGTGTTCTCAGCCAGTGTCCCCAGCACCCTCTTGCCCCCTCATCTTGGTCTCCCCACTGCACAGCTTCTGAGGCTGGTGCTGGCTTTCTGCAGAGCCAGGTGTTGGATTTCAGCACCAAGCCTCTTCAGAGCACCTGTGGCAGGGTGCAGACCCCAAACTCGCGAACACCCAGAGCTCATCCAGAAACGCAGAACGACAAGAAGCCAATGACATCGAAAGAGCAGCACAGCAGCTGTGGGTCCGAATGAAATAAGGAGCCGGGTTACAAGCGGTGGTGGCAGCACATGTGCGCCTGCGGCTGAACGGGGACCCTCAGATCCGGGGCAGCTCAGGCGGTGGTGGCTCTGCAGACTGGGTCTGCAGCGAAGAGTATTTCACTAGGGAAAGAAATGCCTGTTAGAGGGACTCATCTCTAGCCTGCACAGAGGGAGCAAACACAATCAAGCCCCTGCTGGCAACAGAAGCGTGGTTCCCTGTTGGTTGTGTCCAGCAGCTGCCGCAGCTCAGCCCACCCTCGGCACCCTCCCTCTGGGGCCTATTCCCTGCCCCATCGGGATCACCCCCGGCCCTGGGAGCAGAACCCTGGAGGGGATCAGGGAGGTGGAGGGAGCCGGACAGGCCCTGTGAACAGCTCAGCCTCCACTTTCTCATCTGGAAAATGGGAATGCTCCTGACAGGGCTGCTGGAAGGATTCTTCCCAATAAAGTGCTCGACACAGCACCTGGCCCCTGAGGTGCTCGCTTAGTGGTGGCCAATAACATTAAAGATGATGACAGCCGCACTGGAATCCGGAGTTGATGGGAAGCGCCTGTCCACACCTCCTCACTGGCATTCTGGGCCCCAGGTCGTATCTCCCTTAAGACGCTGGCCACTCTAGGCCAACAGCCTGACCTTATGTGGCCTCAAATGGCTGACAGCTCCTGAACCCAGAAAGTGCTCAAGGACCCCAGAGAGGGAGGGACATGGGCCTCCATAACAGGCTCTGGGTTTTAACCAAGTTCCTTCTTGCCTTTGGCAATTTTCAAGTCAAGAGATCATAGGTCTGGGTTAAAAGCTTTCCCTGGCTCTGTCCAAATTCATCCAGGATGCATCTGTTTTCACTGACAGGGAGCAGAGGTGCCACAGCACCCAGAAGTCATTGACGTGGCACCAGATGGCCCTGACATCACACCAGCGTCCCCACTCTCATGAAGCTGGCTAAGGGGCAGAGTCCAGGGACACCTGGGCCTCTGCAGCCTTCTGCCCTGGCTGGACATTTGAGAGGCAGATACGTCTGTGCTTCCCTGGCACAGTTCTGCTCGGTGCTGGGGCCACCAACTAGGAGGCCTTCAGCAAGCGACACTGACTGAGAAGTCCTCACCTTGGGGTTCTTCACACACAACAGCTTCCAGGTTCTCCCCCTTCACATAGTCTGCATTGAGACTCTCTGCAAAAGGCAAAGGGCAGAGTCAGTGACGGACACAGATCCAACGTGTCCCCACCCGTGATCCAGAACTCCTGACCAAGTCCTCAGTTGCAGTAAAAAAAAAAAAAAAAAAAAAAAATCATGGATATAAAGTAATTTTCAAGGATCATTTTCTCCCTCTGTTCCTCTTTTCTTCCCTAACCCCCTCTCTTGTACTTTCTTCCTACCATGGAATGGGGTTTCATTCCTTCTTTCCTTTCTTCTTCTCTCTTTCTTCTGGCCACCTTAGCATCCTTATCTGGATGAGGACTGTCCATCTGGGAATACGCTGCCCAGGAATTCTCCACCATCCTCAGAAATAATAATAATGTGCACCAGAGGCCCCTGATGCTCCACCCCCGTAGGGCAGCTGCCACCACATCAAGACAGCAGCTCCGCCTGGCAGAGGCGGCACCATCCACGGGCCACGTGTGGTCCAGGAGCCAGGGAGGCAGAGAGGGAGCCAGGGAGGTGCAGGTGACTGACGGATGCAGGGCAGGGAGGGACAGACGGCTGCATGGGGCTCACTATGGAGATGCCAGCAAAGCCTCCTGCCAATATATGGCCTTCCCAGCAACCCCTGCAGAGAAGCCAACTGGCTTCTCTTGGCAGCGGGAATAACTGCTGTCCCCACCCAAGCTTGGAGGTCCCAGGGCCCACAGACAGCTGCTCTGGTCTATTAGTTACCTGGGCTTTCTCCCCACCTATTTCCAAGAAGGATCTGGGGACTGTACAAAGCATCCTCTTCATGCCAGCAAGAGCCATCACTCCAGGACTTGGAGAGGACTCCCTCCCCTGTCCCCACCACTGCTTGAGGAGAGTCAAGAGTCTGTGTCTTATCCCTGGATAGCCCAGGGACTGGAAACCTTTAGCCCTGCACCTGTGGGAAAACTGGGCCATAGTTCCAACCAACCAACCAACCAGGCACCAGCACAAGTCACTGTGCCATCCTGGGCTGCAGGCTCCTGGCCTAGAAAAGGATGCCTGCCTCCTGTCTGCCCTGGTGGCTGCTGGGCTCAAGGAAGAAGCCAGATGGACCGATAACAATCACGAGCACGGCTCTTTGGCAGGTGTGGCTGGCCCCGGTGGTGGGTGGGGACTGGGAGATGCCTGGTGTGCCCTGCACTGGCTTCTTCCTGAACCCCGCCATGCATCCGGCCTGCGGACAGCGGGTGTGTCAGGGAAAGCTGAAGATGGTTGTGGTCGCAGCCAAGTTGGCGAGTACCAGGGCCGGGGATGGGGTGGGGAGCGGTGAGAAACAGCACGAGCGGCCAGGGGGTGGGCTGGGGGTGCACAATGAGGTGTCGAGGCCAAAGCGGAAGAAACACGAGGAAGTCAGAGCATTGGTGTTACCTTGACCTTCTGCTGCATCTGAAGACAAGACACAAAGCTTAGAACCCTGGAGTAAGAACTCAGCTCCCGGCAACAAAGCACACGGGCTTACTGCAACACGCACTGACCCTTGGCACCGAGGGCAGGGACAGGAGAAGCTGAGCATCCCCAAAGCATGGGCCCCTTTGGTGGCGGCAGAGGCTGAGCATGCCTCAGGGCCACAGCGGTAGGGACAGGCCCTGTTAGCATCCACCCGCCGTCTCCCCAGGGCCTCCTGTTCTGCCTTCCCTGGTCTCTATGCGCTGGTGGCTGTGGCTCCTCTGGGCAGAGGCTCAACGGAAAGGGTGAGGACAGGAAGTCCTAATCCCTGATGTCCTAGGGGGTTTAGCCACCCCACAAACATCCATGGGACTCCTCCTGACTTGGGCCAGGCTGGGAGCCAGGAACACGTCACCGGGTAACGCGCACACAGCCCTCCATAAAAGCAACAGTCCAAAGAACAATCTGGATTGGGGCAGGAGTGGGGAACTGGCAGTCCTGGGCTCCTGGCAAGGTCAGCAGGGGACGCTTTGGCAGCATGCGGAAGAGGTGGCCAGTGCCACCACAGGCCAGAGGGCTTCTTGGGAGGGGACGCCCAGGCCTGGAGGATGAGAGGAGCCAGGTGACGAGGGAACAGCAAAGGCCAAACGGGTACAAGCAGGGCGGAGGCCTCTGCAGGTGGCACAAGCCTCGGAATCTCATTCCAATGGGCCTGCTGGAGAGGGGACCCCTGGAGGAGAGCCACGGAGCCTCTTGGACAGAAGCCCCCTGTATTATGGAGCCTCCACTTTTCCTTTCCAAATGCCACAAGAACAAGGTTGAAGACCAGGGGCTATGACCAGGTGCCTGGCGGTCCTGGACTCCTTGCTGCAGGCACAGCTCAGGAGGCTGGTGCAAAACGCTCCTTGCCACACTAAGCACAACTGGCCCCCTTGCCCAACATGGCCAAAAGTTCTCCCTCCGAATATCAGTGCACAAGCCATCAGGAGGCGGGACTCCCATAGTTTTCACCAGTTAGAGGGTCCCTTTGCTTTTGAGTTGGGGGAAAGACAGCTCTAAGAATAATCTAGCCCCCAGCCCTGCACTCCTTCTGACCCTTCCCTGTTCACACCACTCTACAGCCAAGCTTCCAGATCCATGGTGGGTCAGTGGGATCTCCAGTGGTGTGACCATGAACAGTTGTGCAGGTTGTGCACTGAAATGTGAATGGGGCCCCTGGAGTGCTGCTGTGCACAGCCTGCACCGCTGTTTGTGCTGGCCTTGGTCAAGAATGTTCTACAAGACCCAAGGAAGCAAATATGATGGCCAGATGTAAAAACAGGGACTTCCCCAATCCCCACACTCAAAGCATCCTGGGACCCAGGTTAGTGTCCCGGGAAGCTTGGCTCCAGGCTAGAATTAAGGGCAGCGGCCCAGAGCAAGGACCGGGGAAGACTCACAGGGGATGTTGCTAAGCTTCCCATCGCATCCGAGGGGCTGAGGAAGGAGAAGAGAGAAAAAATCTATGGCTGAGCCACATTGTGTCACTTAGCCTAAAAATCGCCAGCCTTGAACTAGAGACACACTCCACTCAGCAAACAGCGACCTATCAACTGTCCTTGTAAAACCAACACGTGTGGTCCTCTTGTTCGCCCTCCACAGCGTCCCCATGGCACCCCCAGACATGGGCACAGCAGGCTTCTAAGACAGGCTTCCACTGGCAACGATTCGATTCCAGACTCGGCTACAGCATAAAATGAAAGCGACCCATCTTGTAAAATCCAGCATGTGAAGGCAGGGGTCTGGGGGGGGGGGCGGCAAAACCACGCTCTATGCTTAGTGTTGCGCGCCTCCTCCTCTAGAACAATTCGTGATTCTCTATATTTTAAATTTTCTGGCTTGTGGGGGCAGGAACAGGGCAACACACCCTTGGGTGAGATCTGAGGCCACAGCCATAGCCCACGTCCCTCCTGCTGTATGGGAAGAAAGCATCACGATGGTCACTGAGCTCTACCCCCATCTGTAACAGTGAATATGCTAATAGTAAAAAATAGAAAAAGTTTTAAAAAAACTAATATAATCATACTAAAAAAAATAAACTCAATGGATTTCCATATGCCAAAAATATACTTTGGAGTACACAATGCAGAAAAATAATCATATTCCCTAAGAAATAACAAAATACTAATAATTATAACAGTGGTATAGTACAAAATTCTTTTTTTTTTTTTTTTTTTTGTTTTTTCTGTGACCGGCAAGGGGATCGCAACCCTTGGCATGGTGTCGCCCGCACCACGCTCAGCCAGTGAGCGCACCAGCCGTTCCTATATAGGATCCGAACCCGCGGCGGGAGCGTCGTTGCACTCCCAGCACTGCACTCTCCCCAGTGCGCCATGGGCTCGGCCCATAGTACAAAATTCTAATGAATTTTCTTAAGGTTTAATAATAAAGGTAGAGAGGGTCCCTATAAAGAATCAATCAATCAATCAATCAATCCCGCCTCTGGGAGCTAGGGCCCTTGGGCAGTCAAGGTCATCGGGTCCAGCCCCATCGGCTCTTCCAGGCCAGTTTACACTTCGGTTTGGCCTAGATCTGTCCCCAAGGATTTCCAGAAGCGTAACCCCCGTGCCGCGTCCCCGCAGGGCAGTGGCGGCGCTTACGCTGGATGCTGAAGCAGAACTTCCTCTGCTGGTAGGAGATGTAGCTGGACACGGCGCCGATGAGAGCCATGGCCAGGGCGCTGGCCACGCCGGCGATCGTGCCGGTCTCCACTGTTGCGCCTGCACGAGGGAGAGGGGAGGGTCAGCTCAGGGGTCTGCTGCTCCAAGCACCGGGCTGAGCCTGCGGGGATGCCACGACCCCCAAGCACTGGGAGAGGGCTGGCCATGGAGACCTAGGCATGAAACACGGTGCCCCTCGGGCCCACCAAGTGCTTCTCACATACCGTGAGGACGTCCGTTGTGAGAAGCTGGAAAAGTGGACGTGGAGATAGTAGGGTCCCCTCTCTTAGCGAGGCCTGGACAGGTCATGGGCCAGCTGTCTGCCCATTGGGCCACCTCCCCCGGGATTTAGATCTTCAGGATTAATTCCTGTCATGAATGCACCCCTCTGCTCTGTGCCTCACGACTCTACTGAAGACAGTCAGGGAAAGGTCGGGAAGGCCACCTCTGAGACCAGAGTGGGCCCGCACCATTTCTCTTCGTGGTTTCCACCCAAAACCCCGGGACTCAGAAACCTACCGGATTCTGTGTCGTCACTGCTGCCATACCGGCCATCACCTGGAGAAAGGACAAAAGCACTTAGTGTCTGCTGGGACCCCACAACCAGCCGGCTCAGGATCAGGCCACAGCGAGGTGGATGACACTGCTGGCCCTTGTGATTCCACCTCTGACAGGCCCCAGCCAGTAAACCCCACCCCCCTGTGGGGACAGTGTTCTTAGACTATGGTGGCGATCACACGACTCTTCACATGCGATCACACTGCACACAGCTAAATACACACGCCAACCTCCCCGGACAGCAAGTCCCTGACAACCCACGGGGGCCACTTCCGGACATCAATGAGATCTGAGGTCGTCCTTCATGTCGCCCTTCTCCCTAGGGCCAGAGACTCCTGGACGGACGGAGACTATGTTCTCAGGGACAGCCCCTGGGAGGTGGGAGGCAACAAGCTGTGATGTTTCCTTCATCAAAGAGTCTGGGGCGCGCAGGTTCGTGCAGCGCCGTGCTGGGGGGTTCAGAGCAGCGGAGGCTGTGCGTGTGGCAGCGCACGGGGTGCGGAAGATCTCTGTACCTTCCTCTCAGTTTTGCTGTGAGCCTAAAACTGCGCTAAAAATAAAGTCTGTTTTTAAAAAAAAAAAGTCAGGGGGGAGAAAATGAGGTTTGTTATGTCCCCAACCTTGGGCTGAATCCTCGAGTTAAATGCATTTTGTAAAGATCCCTGATTGGATAGGAATAGTTATCTACAGAACAGGCAGCACCAGCAGTAAAAACAAAACAAAACCCACGATCTCTGCTGCTGGAGAAAGCAGAGCAACAGGGAGACAGCAGTCACGGTGTGCGCGCACGTGTCCACAGAGAGGTCACCGGGGGCACCTGGCGTCCAATGGTGCTGGCCTGTCAGTGGTCCCTGTGCTGCGCTGGAGGCGGACACTATCAAGGGTAAAAGCCAACACCCGTGCAGGTGCCCTCTGCTGACGTGTTCGTGTCACTAGATCTCCAGGTTTTGGACTCTTTCTCTGAGAAATTCGACATATTCTTTCTTTCACCCTCAAGGCAGAATGAAGCTGAGTGTTCCCAAGTCTCTCTTCTCTTATTAATACTCGGCCACAAGGACCGCAGCAACTAGCACACCACGGTTTGTGTGACTGCTGAGCTATGAGCCCCCTACCTTCTTTCCCCCGAGGGACACGTGCGGAGAAGGGCTGGCACTCTCCTAGGTTGTCAGAAAGACTCAAAAGCACAATGCTTCACACATCCCTAGGAATTCCTGACTCTCTGACCACCTGTGATTGCAAGAAGCATTGTCCTATGAAGACGACAAAAAATGTGATTCCCCCTCCAAGTCATTACTCGGATGGGTGTGTACGGTGAAAATACTATGAGGCTAAAGAACAGCTGGAAAATAAAGATCGCCCTGGATTCCGTATCCCTTCCAGTTGCATGAACCGGGACTGACGTCAGCCACACAGACCTGCCACTGGAGGTAGCCAGGCTAAGGTCATGGCTTTGAGCCCTGTTTGGCTACTGAGCTCTGCTCACTTCCTCTGAGCACAGGCTGAGCCCAGTTCCTTTACAAAAAGCACATGGCACAAATGATGTTATTGGGATAAGTGATGAACCACTTGGCATGACATAAAGTTATCCAATACAATACCATCCACGAAAATAAGTTCCCAATAAAAATAAAATGAATGAAGCCATAAAAGCACCACAAGAAAATTCAGGACAAGATTGATATCATCTCGGGGTAAGGAATGACTTTTTAAACATGACCCTAAAGCCAAAAACCCAAAATGGAAAAGACTGTATCAAAAGTAAAAACTTTGGTATTGAAAGCATAAGCAACAACAAAAAAATAAATTGGATCTTGTCAAAATTTAAAAATTTTGTGCTTCAAAGGACATCGTCAAGAAAATGTAATAACAAAATGTAATAACAACACAAAAGGTGGGAGAACATATTTATAAATTGTATATCTGATAAGGGACTAGTACTGAGAATATATAAAGAACTCCTACAACTCAAGAATAAAAATAACCCAATTTAAAATTGGGCAAAGACTTGAATAGACATTTCTCCAAAGAGACATATAAATGGCCAATAGGCACGTGCAAAGATGCTCGACATCATTAGTCATTAGGGAAATGCAAACCAAACCCACAATGAAATCCCACTTCACACCCTTTAGGATGGCTATAATCCAAAAAAAAAAAGGAAAGAAAGAAAAAAAAGAAGTGTTGGCAACAATATGGAGAAATTGGAACCCTTACACATGGCTATTTGGAGTGTAAAATGTTCCAGCTGCTGTGGAAAACAGTTTGGCAGCTCCTCAAAAACTTAAACATGAACTTACAACATGACCTAACGATTCTACTTCTAGGCATAGTCAAGAAACTTGAAAATTCATGTTCACATAAAAACTTGTACACAAATGTTCCTAGGAGCGCTATTCATAAAAGCTGAAAAATGGAACCAACCCAAAGGTTCATCAACAGATGAATAAATAAAACAGTTTTGGAATATATAGAAAAGAGCTTCCTAATCCTTAATGGAAAAGGAGGCCTTACAAGTCAATAAGAAAAGATGCAGACTCCAGCAGAAAGATGGGCAAAGGACATAAACAGGCAATTCACAAAATACATTAAGAGAATCTAATAAGACATAAAGTGTTTCACCTCTTCTGGATTCAAAGAAATGCAAATTTGCTCTGATCAAATCTGCAAAGATTGCAAAACTGTAGTACCCAGTGGAGGTGAGAGCTGAGAAAACAGGCACCTGTTTACTTACTAGTGATGAACACGGAGGTTGGTACAACTTTAACGGAATACTGTTTGGCAGTACCACTCGAAGAGTCGCATCTTTAAAAACATCCACGTCCTGTGACCCAACAGTCTGACTTTTAGGAATTTATCTGGCAGAAACAAGGTTGTACATATTTGGCTATGACAATGTTCATCACAGCAAAAAGCTACTGTACAAAAATAGGGTCCTGGTTAAATACGTTATGGTATAACAAAACATGTAGGCAGTGACATGATGTCTTAGGATTCTCTTTAATGGCAGAGAAAGATATTTAGAGTGTTATGGAATAAAAAACTGGTTTTAAAAGGACAGCATGATCCCATTTTTATTAAAAAAGAGACAAATATTTATAAACGTATACTTACGCATCGAAAACGTACTCCAAGCACATATTCCAAAGTGACTCTTCCCAGATGGTGGAACAAAAAATATTTTTCATATACTCTTTAAAGAGCTTTAAATATGGAAGCCCCATACAAATCTATCCACCTCTCTTTCCCACAACTCAAAGAGGGAGAGACAGCTCACAGAGGCTATTCACAGGTCATTGGCAGGATCTTCATTGTCTAGGACAGTATGGTTTGTGTCCCCACCTGCCCTGTGAGTTCACAGTTATATACCAAAGAGACTACAGTAGCCCTCTATTATACCAGAAATACGCCCGCCCCGTACAGCACACCTCAGCTGCAATTTGCTTTGAGTGTATATACCTGTGCATAGACATAGCTGTGTAGACTGCCACAGCTCTAGCAATTGCCTTAACTACAGGGACTGCCACCGTAGCAATCGTGACCATCACCACAGCAGGTACCACAGCTACGGGGAGTCCTGTGGCTGTAGCGACCACTGCGTTGTAAGGAGTGCTAGAGCTCTGGTGGCCACCACAGCTCTGGAGAGGCTGGAAGACAGGAGGCCTGACATCAGCAAGGAAGCTGTGAATGCCCTGTCGCCAACACAACTGTCAGACCCTTGGCATCTCAGATACAAAAGATGACGGTGCACATGGCCAAGCAGCCACACACCTGGGGAGGCAGGGATGCCAGGCACACACCGAGCTGCCATTCTCTGACGTGGTGAGCACCTGGGACACCTGGTCACCAAGGGCATGAGAGTCACTTAACAGCAGGAAGATTATATCTGGAACTGCCAGGGGAAGATGTTCAAGTATTTAAGGATGTCTGCAAGTGTCAGACATAGCTTGGGCTGTTATGTATTTTTTAAATGTATTTCACGATCTTAAAAAAAAAAAGGGGCAGCAGACGTGCAAAATTTTAAAGTTTTTTTTTTTTTTAATCAATAGACAAAGAGAAAAAGCTTGCTTCAGATGACCCATAGTTACCAAGTCAAACCGAACTGAAAAAAAAATCTGCCAAAACACAGCTGCCTGGGCTGACCACTGGGGACGGTGTTCCTCACTGTTCCAGAAAGTTCCCACAGCCCAGACCTCATCCGTTCCCCACCTCAGGGATGAGAATGTTCACCCTCTAGACGACACGATGGGTGCCCTGCCCCAGTCTGACACAGGACCTACAACCCCACTCCGTATGCCAAGCTCCCAAGACACCAACAAGGAGCCCACCTTGGAGAAAACGCTGTGATGGCGCCACGATCCGGGGTGTGTCTGGAGAGGGGGACGGTCTGAGGGAGGGAGGGGGTCTCTTCACGTTGCAGAACACCAGGACCATGGGGCCACTCCTCACATCTGAAACAGCCCTTAACATGTTATGAAAGCTGAGAGGAATATGGAAATAGGTCCCCAAAAGAGATCTCTCTGGTGTCTCTCCTTTTTTTTTTTTTTTGTCTTTTTCGTGACCGGTAAGGGAATCACAACCCTTGGCTTGGTGTCGTCCACACCGCGCTCAGCCAGTGAGCACACTGGCCATTCCTATATAGGATCCGAACCCACAGCGGGAGCATCGCTGCGCTCCCAACCCTGCACTCTCCCGAGTGCATCACGGGATCGGCCCTGGTGTCTCTTTTTATAAAAGCACTGGTCCCATTACGAGGTCGCACCCTCACGACCTCCTCTAACTCCAATGACTTCCCCAAGGCTTCACCTCCAAACACTGGGGATTAAGGGCTTCAACATATGAATTTGGGGACACAAACACTCAGTCCATAAGATTAAGGGATCATGATCCAGATACTTCAAGACAGTGACTACAAATACAATGAAAATGGAAGAGAAAGGTTTTCTTCAAAGACCCAGTAGAGAGAACAGACAAACCAAATGTGTCCATCCATACAATGGAGT